TATTACGCTTAGAGGAGGTCTTATACCCCCTAAAACAAAACTGATGACAGCGCACTTAACCACTGAGCCATCAATGAAATACATTTAGCAGAAAAACAAACCTAATTATAAGTCTCTTACAATCTCTAAGTATGCGTAAAAGGTGTGCATAGTAAGTTTTATGACCCGTATCGGATCCGGAAAGCTAGAATATATAAAGAAAAAATATAGAAAAGTTTGGTTTGGATTAGATTACAAAAGACTTAAAAAATAGACTTAAAAAATAGACTTACAAAGACCCATATTTTTTACGGGTCCGATCTCAGCTAGTCAAAAGAAACAGCGGAAAGATGTCTGCAAAATATTAGTCTTATACTTTACTTTAGTTTTACATACTTTTAGATCTCTTTAGATTCAAATAAAATGATGTCTTAAATTGCTGTCTACATATTATTTTGGTTGTTATAGGGTATAAAAAGTATTGATATTTTGATATTTATTTAAAAATACTAAATTAAGATGCAAATTACAAATAACCCACCAATAATAACATGCCGAACAAACATTAACATTACAAGAATTTAGGAAACCATAGCTTGTTACATGCACCACTATCTACAACACGTGTATATCGTTATAATTATTGTATTAAAACACTTTCTTTTAAGTAATTCATCTTTAGAAAAACTTAAGTTTTTGAATTTTTTTTTTATTTTGTTAGTGCAACCTAATGCACAACAATTTTTCAGGCTTTTTTTTCAAAAAATAACTCAGCGAACTGCAATTTAATTTTTTTAATTTGTTTTCCCCCAATTCTAGATGGTTAATTTTATTAATTCAAGATGGTTAATTTTGAAACAATACTTTTTAATACGGATTGACGTCACACCGACTGGATGGATAAAAGACACGGCATTTATAAATAGTTAAGTAATTCAGTTAATAAATTTAATTGCGCGTAACATGTCGCTTTTAAAGAAAGGCGTAATCGTTATGTCATTAATATAGTTTATAAAGAAATTCTTTAATGAAATATTCTATCTAAAAACTTTTATTTTTAACATTTGTTTTCAGCCTTTAAATTTTTTTGTTTATTGTTTTTGAGCTTTGACATAAGGATGGCAAAAATCCCGGAAATTTTTAATCCCGGGATTTCGGGATTAAAAAAATTGTTCCCGGTAAAATCTGGGAAATCCCGGGATTTAATAGAAAAAAACGCAAATGCAAAAGCACTCATGAAACACTTAAAAATAATTAATTTAATGATAATTTTTAAGTATTATAAATTATAAAACAATACCTTAAAATGGTAACACTGTATAAATAAATAAAAAAATTAAAAAAATAATATAAATATGTATGACGTTAAAAAAAACTTTAATAAATTTGAAAATTAAATGGATATAAAACTGGAATTAAAATCGCGCATACTTTTGGAAGCAGAAAATTCAAAATTAAATTAATGTATACCTTCTATTAAAAATTCTTGCTCTTTTTACCAGCAAGCGCTTAATTTTTATTTATTTTTAAAATATACTAGTTTTAATATTATACTATATATTATATATAGGATAATATTAAAACCAATATATTATAAAAAATAACAAAAATATAAGTGCTTTCTATTGGAAAAAGCAAGAGTTTTTAATAAAAGTTTACATAAGTTTTATTTTATTATATATTTTTAACTTCAATTATACATATACAGTATCGGACAAAACAAGTACAATCAAATAATGCTAATTTAGTTTCTTTATATAAAAGCGCTACATTTTTCAATTTAGAGAAATAACTATGTAAATGTTTAGAGACAACGTTCGTCAAGTTTTATTCATCACAAAGTTCATTATTTGTACACGAAAGTTAATAAATTAATCAAAAGTATTAAAAAAAATTGATTTCCTTCTGGACAAAACAAGTGCAACTCCACAATGTTGACCAAGCTGTATTTCGCTATCAATATTTTGTTGCGAATCCTTTGTTGTCAATCCCAGTCTTGCTTCTTCGAGGCATAGATTCGATCAGGTGATCAATGAAACTTTGTGGAATCGCTGCCCAGGCCTTTTGGATTTGTTCAAACAGTTGATCCTTATTACGAACACCTTCACGATTAATTCTGCGGTTGACGATCTCACACAGGTTCTCGATAGGGTTGAGATCCGGAGATTGAGGCGGATGATCTATCACCGATAGATGGTTGTCTTGAAACCACTGCTTGACTACTTTTGCAGTGTGTTTCGGGTCGTTGTCTTGCTGAAAAATCCATTTTATTGCCATATTCCATTCAGCATGAGGTAACATAACATCTTTTAGGATATTTTTATACATGAAACGGTCCATTATTGCATCGATTCGATGTATTGGATCAAGACCGTTAGCAGAAAAACAACCCCAAACTATTACATTGCCTCCACCATGCTTCACGGTCTTATGGCAGTAACGTAAATCAAGGCGTTTCCCGGTTGGTCGACGTACACAGGAAATGCCATCGCTCCCAACGATGTTGAACTTTGATTCATCACTGAACAGGACAGTTTGCCATTTCTGCACATTCCAGTTAATATAAGATGTAGCAAACAGGAGTTTTTTCTTCTCGTTCTTTAGTGAAATCAGCGGTTTCTTTGCGGTGCGTCGAGAAAACAATCCGGCTTCAATAGCACGTTGTCTGATTGTTCGGTCCAATACAGGCAGCTCTAATTGCTTTTGTATCTCAACTGATGAAATCCAGGGATCCTTCTTGACGGATCTGGCAATCATAGAATCCTCTCTAGAAGTGGTGGAACGCGGTCTTCCACCTTTGTTATCTGCTGCCAACTTCCCCGTAGAACGATTTTTGGAGCATAGTCTTGATACGGTTCATTTTTTCCCGCGATATTTATTACAAATATTTTTTTGTGACATTCCACTTACATAATCGCCAATAATTTTCTTTCTTAGTTCCAATCCAAGACTGTCGGAAGCTATTTTCCACTTGAAGTCATAAAAATAATAAAAATAAATAATCACGCTTCTCAAGGCTTACCGTGTTACATTTACCTAGAGATGATACAATAATAGTCTGTGGAACACAACGTCTGTAAACTTTCTTTAATTATTAAAAAACTTCCGTGACGTTGACACGGACCAGACTTAAGAAAATGAAAAAAATCAAAAAAGTTGCACTTGTTTTGTCCGCTGAAAACGCATATACATTTTGCAGACAAGCAATATTGTTTTGAGTTTTTTTTTTAGTAAAATACAGAAAAAGAGAGTTTTAAAAGGAAAACATTGCAAAGAGAATAAATAATTACACAACCAAACAGCTACTTTACCAAAGGCGATATAAAAATTACTAAACTACAATTATAAGCTTAAACTTTATTAACCTTTCCTTTTTTTTGATGATCCCGCAATCCCAGGAAATTTCGGAGACTAATCATGGGATTTCGGGATGAACAATTTGTTCGAAATCCCGGGATTGCCACCCCTACTTTGATAGTTTACTGGCAGTTGATTCTCTTGTTTTACTATCCTGTTTGAGAAGAAGTTGTACAGGATATAATACTTAACCTCTGGTTAGAAAGTTTCATTGTCTTGCGTCGTTTTGTATTTTTCTTGGGTTAAATTTAAATAAAAGTTTATTTAGTTCATTTTTAATTTTTAATTTTTCTATTTAGTCTCCTCTTATTCATCTTTCTTCCAGTGTTGTCAAGGCAACAACAAGGCAGCGGATCCTTACCTCGTATGTTTTACCACTAACCTCTCGTATTAGTATAGTTGCCATTCTCTGGACTGCCTCAATCGCTTTGATGTTTTTTATTCTATTTGGATTCCATGTGGAAGTATTGTACTCCAGATGTGGTCTCACCATAAACGGCTAAAAGTTTTTTTCTTTTTAAGTTTTACAAAGAACCTCTCATCTTTGATATTTGTTTTTTAGTAATTTAATTTATGCCGCTTTGTAACTAAACTAATCACCAACTTAAACTTTAAAACTTTTGTGAGAACATTACACATGTTTTATAAATGGTACAAATCTACATATGTTTTATAAATGATACAAATCTAAACATGTTTTATAAATGGTACAAGTCTAAACATGTTTTATAAATGGTACAAATCTACAATAGTTAGATTTGTAACTTTTTAAATAAAGAATCTAAATAATGAAAAAAAAACTAAATTTTGGAAAAATGGACTTAGCTCCTTTAGAAAAACGCCTTTCAATTTGTAGTCACTGGTCAAAAAAGTCTTTCTGGAATCAAAAAGAAAGGATATATCCCTAAACCTGATAAATTTCAATTAATTTTAAACCTTGTGGCTTCTTATGTACTTAAACTAAATATCTCCGTTAAATAAGACTGGATCTAAAACGATTATTTCTATTTTCCACAGCAGATAATGAGGGTGTGAAGAAAAAATGTTTCTAGCAGTATAGGGTATTGCGAGACATAATCGGACAAGGAGGCAATTTTTTTAAACAGCCTAGTAATATAAATATTATATAAAATGAGTAGTGTTGTATATCTATAGGCATTGAAAAAAGCAATTTGTTGTGTTTATTCCTGTAAAATGTAGTTTTTCTTTTCATTTTATGTTGCAATATCAAATTATAGGTTATTGAAGAGAACTATAAACAAAAATATACTGTATAATACTAATATATACACTTACAAAAGCGTGTTTTGATAAGCATTTGCTCACTTTTTCTGCTTACTTTAAGCTATACCGTTTTTTACGAAAAAGAAGAAAAAAAAAAAACGAAGAATGATGAATAAAACGATTGCTTCCCCATCCCAAACCCTCAGTCGATGTAGCAGCACTCCACTGCGAGTCAGGCTATTTGTCAGTCGATGTATGTACTGAAGCCCCCAGCAGCAGGCTATTTCAGTATGACGTCAGATTGCTTACCTTAGTACGCAATACCATTTGTATATCCTGATCTTTTCAAAGAGTTTATAAAACATTTTGCATACAAGAGCTACTGAAATAAGATTCTTTTAATTTTTGATGGGCACAAAACTCATACAAAAAACAGTTTATTAACTTACTAAAAAATGGATCAAACATTTTAAGTCAATTGCAAAACTGCATATATTATACAAAATTATAAATACATTATGAAAAAAAAGCTATGCATATATTACACAAAATTATGAGTATATTATAAAAAATTATGCATATATTATACAAAACTGCATATACTTTAAAAAATTATGTTTTTACTGCTTTCTATAAAATGTTTTCTTATGAATTATTAATTATTTATTACTAACAGAAAAAAATGTTTTGTTGTGAAAATTAATTATTCTTTGTGGAGTCTCGTATAACGTACCACGTTATCTCTAAAGGTGGGAGTTCAACCATGATTTCAACTTCCCACCCTTTATCCAATGTATATGGTTCAGGATTTTCATCTTTCTCCGAAATAATGGCTACCTATAAATCACATTTTAGACAATGTACTTTAAATAATTTGAATATGTTTAGTTAATAGTTTTATTAAAAATAGTTCTAATAGGAAAACGAATCAGGAAGGCTTTATTTTTTGTAGCATTTTAAACAAAATTGAATCCGTTCAAGAAAGTTTATCTACGGGAAAGGTAAAAAAAGAATAAAACAATCACGTGAACGTGCGTAGTTTAAATTCTAAAGCAAAACTACGAAAGCTCACGAGATAATTTTTCCTTCCCGTTCTTGTAAAAAAAAAAAGAACAAGTGGGAACTCAACTTTCGACTTAAAATATTATAACGATAAAGTGGATTTAAAAAATTTAAACAAAAAAAATTAACAAAAATTTAGTAAATAATTTTGAATTACCTCGCTTATCCCAGTATAGTATAATGGTAAAGTAAGAAGCATTGACTGAGTCTCTGTAGTTGGATTAAAAACCATCACTAAACCTTTGTCATTAAGTCGATAATTCACATGCATATAGGAGTCAATTGATTGCATATCAGGTCGCCTAACGCGGACGATGTCGCTTGTAATAATATCACGATATTTCTTGTAAAACGAAACCCATTTTGTAACCATAGCTTTTGTTTCATTTGTATCATATATTCTGTAACCACGATAGCATGCCGCTACACCAGCACCTAGATACTGAGCTAATCCAAACTGGTAAGCTACTATATTCTGGTTCAAAGGTTCAAATGCAGCTTCAGCTCCTCCACCATGGTAATCAACAAGCGGAAGAAACATCCACCCTGCAGTTGGAATATAGTTGTATATTCTGTCGAACAAACTTTGGCGACTGATACTTAAATCTTCCCAACGTGGAAGAGAATATTGGTTTTCGTTGTAACCAAGACCTGAAAAAATATATAAAAAATAAAAATATTTAGTAATATTTGTTAAATTTTTAGAATTGTTACAGTTATTGTATTATATATAATCTATATATAAAACATTTATATGCAACTATTTTAATTAATTTTACATTGCATTTTGTTTTACTTTTATTTAATCTAAATAAATAGAAAGATTTTGTAAATTTATTTATACATTTATATTATTTATAACATACATTTATATTATTTATAACACACACATACATACACACACACACATATAATATATACATATGATGACACACACACACATATAATGATGACATAATGACACACACATATATAATGATGACATGATGACACACACACATATAATATATATATGATGATGTGAAATTATTAGTAACATATATATATATATATATATATATATATATATATATATATATATATATATATATATATATATATATATATATATATATATATATATGATGTAAAAGTATTTATAAACCATATATTTATGATTATATAGAATTATTTGAGACATTTATTTAAAAACTAAAAAAAAAATCGAATATCAATTCTAGATGCGTTTAATTCAATTAACTAAAAGATTAAAGCTGAACAAATTAGAAAACTTAAAAATACACGAGACAAAGATTTTGTTGTACTTTTTGTAAAACAAAAACGAAAGAAATCCTACTTTGAAAGCTGCAAAAAATCAAGCAGGTTTAGCAATCTTTTTATCAACCCCGATTTAACAACCTTTATTTAACCACCCTTATTTAACCAAAAATGAAAAATTTAATGCTAAATTATTAAAACATAAGTGCAAAATGTTTTAGAAAATACTCAACCTTTGTTTTATTTATAGAGAAAACGTAATGATAGAGTTGTTAAAATCGATAGACAGAAATCATTTGTAAATAACTGGAAATCTAAATTGTCACAAGTCATTAAATTTTATGGTATTAAAGAATTTGTCAATTAATAGTAAAGTTCCATCCAAAAGTAAGATCAATCTGAAAAATAGTAAAATCTAGAAAAATAACTCTTCAAAAAAAAAAAAAAAATCAGCTTGAAACAAATTTCAATAAAAAAAATCTGAATTTAATTGGAAGACGAATTTAGACTATATGCGTTCACCAAATTTAACTGGAAGACGAAACCTGACTTTAAAACCGAATTTAACTAAAAACCAAATTAGGATTTTATAAACCAAAAGTATTATTATTTAGCTTGTAATAAGATATATATTTCAAAACATTACAAAATAAAAGTGAAACAAAGTAGTTTTTTAAACAAAAAATATACGCTTATAAATAACAATAACAATTTTTTTTTAAATAGTGGTTACAAACTTCTCTCAACTTTTTAAATCTGAAACGAAAAACTGAATGAATAAGACTCCTATACAGAGAAACATGCTGATATACAAACATGTTATATATATATATATATTTTTCAATTTAAATATATATGCATATATATATATATATATATATATATATATATATATATATATATATATATATATATATATATATATATATATATATATATATATATATATATATATATATATATATATTTACATTGAAAAATCTAATTTTACTGAAAATTATGCAGTTGTGACTAAATTTAACTGAAAGCCAAATTTTTGAAATTCCAAATTCGACACCGAAGTCGAAGGTGAAGTCAACTTCGATTTTCAGTAAGCTTTGTCATCCAAATTTTAACAAATATTTGCCGTTCTATAATGCTGAGGCTACTGCTGTAATTTTTATTCTCAATAATAAACTAGCGCTATTTTAGTCCAAAAGATTTTCAATTTATGCAAGAATCATATGAAAATTTGCAGATAAGTTGCAATTTACTTTTTTTAGTTGAAAATATTTAAATTTAATTTATAGAGATCATTTTTATAAGTTAAATTAAATTATTTTTAGATAAAGGCTGAACAAGTACAGATAATTGAACCAAATTTCAATATTGACACCATCTTGTTTTTTCATCTATGTAGATCTTGTTTTTAAATCACAACTTGAACCTATAAATTTAATTATTTATAATTTATACTACTTGCTGTCTCAATTTGTACTACTTGCTGTCTCAATTTATACTACTTGCTGTCTCAATTTACCTAAAATGAATTGACAAAATTATGTTTTACTATACAAAAAATTGTTACAGGATTTTTTTAAATTTAGTGAGTGAACTCAGTTTTCACCAATCTGTTAAAGAGCACATGCATATAGGAAATTTTCTTGATCTTGTTTTTTTTAATAACATTTATCTTTTAAATGATATCTCTGTTGTGTGTCCTTTTAGCACTAGCAACCATAACACAGTCCAATTTTCTATAAATACAAATGATTTCAACCAGTGGGAACATAAATTAGATTCTTGTAACAACTTGTAGAGGACCTTCAGACATCAAGTTTTCTTATGTCTTTAAATTAAGGACTACTGAAGCATTTTTTTGAGACATTTTTATTCTAGAATTTATCAATTTGCACCTATTAGAAAAAACAACTTTAACAAACTGAGAAATCACTTTCCAAAACACATTTAAAAAATTTAAAGCTGCATTTTTATAGAAAAAATGATCCATCACAAAAACAATTAATTACCAACCTGCATAAAAGCATTACGCCAAAAATTGCAAACAAGCTTTACTTAATTACTGATTGAAAATTAAACCTAGTTAATAAATTGCAGAAATTGTTAATAAGTTGCAGGAAATAAATTAGCGAGTTTTATAATTATGATAATAATAAATACCATCTTATTGAAAAATAACAATAAAAAAGCTACTTTCAGTAATATAGAAATCACTGACAAGATAATAGTTACTCTTTTAATATGAAAAGGATTCAATAAGCATTTATATTTTTTCTTTATATTTTTATTAATTATATTTTTTGACATTTATATTTTTTCTGTAGAGTCAGTGTATAAAACTTCAAATTCATCTTTCTGACTTGTACTTGTTGTCGAATTATGTTGAAAGAATTATCAACTCTCATATTTGTTGAGTACCTTAATCATTATAACAAATTGATTCTGTACCATACTGTATCTCATTCAAAACTATTAAATTTTCATCATACAATATGCGTGGTAAACCTTTTGAAATGAACCTCTGCATTTTTGACATACAACTCAAGTTAAATCTATATACAATTACATTTTCAATTTTATACAAAATCTCAACAAGTCAAGATTGATAATACTTAATCCAATCTGATTCTAATTGTTGGGAATGTTCCACAGGGCAATGTACTGGGACCAACTTTATTTTTATTATTTATTAATGATGTCATTCGCAAGGGAAATTGTTAACCTAAGTACTTTAAGCTATCATAGCGGCTTAATGTTTTGGTTTGGATTTTCTCGAGAGACCAAAACATCAAAATCAAAACATCAATAAGTAGCTATAATAGCTTGAAATATTTTGGTAAAAAAATTTTTTTTACCAAAATTTTTTTACCAAACTTTACCAAAATAGCTTGAAATACAAGTTTTTTTTTTACCAAAATTCATGTATAAAACATGATTATATGTTTTGAAATTATGCATAACTTGTTTGGTACAGATAAAAGTTTAGTTTAGAAATTAACAATAATAATTATACATGTCAGGCTTAGGTTTAGGGTCATTTTTATAAGATACGCAAGCAACAGTGCTAAAAATTTGTAAATATTGTTTTTCTCAACAAGTTGTTAACCTCTGGTCTGTTTTTTTAAGCTAACTCTGTCATTAATGTAGTCAGACCTACAAACATGTCTAAGTACCAATTAATGTTATGATTTGTTATTTCATTTTATTTGATGTAATGGTGTTTAATAATGTGAGTAACTATACTATTCCTTAATGAAAACAACAATCAGCAACTTGAGTAAACAGAATTTAATCATGTTACTTCTGACACAAAGAGTAAAAAAAGCATTGAAAAAAGCCAAGATAAGAGCATCGCCCATTAAAATTTGCTTTTATAATGCGGTTCAAGAAAAAAGATTTATTAAAAACTTTCTAAAAGACTTAAAAAAAAACTTGAAGAGTAAATCAGCATTCTAAAGCCCTAAAAATGCTGAGAGCAATAGTTAACCACATACCCACTAAAAAGTAAAAAATTACATCAAATCCCTATCACATTTTATTGTAACAATTTCATACATGTTAAAATCATTTGCTGTTATTTTTACAATTATAAAAAAATATTATTAAAAAAAAAAAATTAGATCTCATTGTGTAAGAGGGTAATTTTATAAGAAAATATATCAAGATGATAATAGATATTAGAATAAAAAAAGAATTGTAATAATTAATAAATAATAATTATTTGAAAACAACCCTGTCTTAATTAATAAATAATAATTATTTGAAAACAACTCTATCTTAAAAATAATTTTTTTTTATTAATTTTTGTGTTTAGAACCATATAATAAAGATGTTCAGAGATAAGCATATACTTAAAAACAGGAGGAGATAACTTGGTTAAATACAGGCAAGATTTGAAAAGAAATTATTAAGTGATGAGGAGTGGGTGAAATATGTTCAAAAAGCAGCCATGGAGCAGTGGTTAGAGTTCTGGCTCAGAGACAAGAGGTTTGTGGTTTGATGCTCACTCTAGCCCAATATGCAACATTGGTAAAGAAGGAGGTATGAACTTCTTTGTTAAATGCTCCTCTGTGGTACTCTGGGATAAGACTAATACATCTTCCAGAAGCACCTTAATAACCCCCTCTTCAAAAAAAAAAAACTAGAAAAAAAATACTTACCATTATGCTTAAATGAAAAAAAATATATGAAAATAAATATCATAACTTATTTCTTAATTATTAGCATTTTTTTAAAATAAATATTAAATAAGTAAATTAAATTTCTTTTTAAGTACCTGTTCGACTACCACCTTGATACCAATAGTCATCTGGCTGATTGATATAAATGTTCCTCCTACGTAGCTCCTTAAAAAATTCTCCTTGTAAAAATGTTTGTTTGTACACAGAATCCTCATAACCTACATGATGCAGATGACTTTTTGATGCACACGCATCACTAAAAATATGAACTAAATTAACTCAGAATAATAGTAACAATTGAGAAATGCATGAAGCGCACAACAAACATTTTCCTATATTTATAATACATTTATACTTGTATTTAATAATACAAAATTAAATAGATTAGTGAGAATTTCAAATAAAACATTTTAAAGAAAATTTTATTGTGTTTTATTTATATACATATAAAATGATGTGTTTTATTTATATACATATAAAATATATATATTTTATACGTATATATAGCAACATATTGTGCAACTTTTTTTTTGTTGAAGCAACATATTTGTGTAACTATACATTTCAGGCTGTTTATAGAATTGGTATAGAATCTGCTAACATTGTAACTACACATGTAAGACTGTAACTACATATGTTAGTAGCTTCTATACCAATTAAGAGATCTGTAGTGTGGTCACACAAATTGTAATTTGAAGCATTTCAGAATAAAATTTTAAAAATAACTTTTACTTTTTAAACTTTTTGTAAAGTAAATTTTATAACATATTATCAGAACATTTTTATAACATATTATCAGAACATTTTTGAAGTATAACTTTGTTATACTACAAAAATGTTCTGATAATATGTTGCTTTATAAAAGGATATCTATGCTTTCAAATTTATAAAAGGATATCTATGCTTTCAAATCTATAAAAGGATATCTATGCTTTCAAATTTATAAAAGGATATCTATGCTTTCAAATTTATAAAAGGATATCTATGCTTTCAAATTTATAAAAGGATATCTATGCTTTCAAACTGACATTAAAACATTTTTTAAAGCATTGAAGTAAAAATCTTCTGCTTATGAAAACTTTTTTTTTTTAAAATGAAATAGTATGAAACATTTGTTATATTGTCAAAAAAAATCAATAATTTTTAATGGTTTACAATTACATATAAGCGTTTTTGATGTTTTTGCAACCAACAACTATTTCCTTAATTTGACTAAAACAAAGATATTTTGGAATACTTACCACAATTTCATTAGCTTTCAAAATATTAGCATTCGAATCATCTCCATTAGAGTCAAGGTAAATTCATTTAATTATAAAGGTAGTTAACTAACATCCTAGTTAATCAATTCACATTGAAAACGAATCCAAGAATAAATAGAAGAAATTTTAAAAAGCAGTTTTGGCTAATAAGTACAGATTTTAGTTTTTGAAAGTTTTTTGAAAATTTTAGTTTTTGAGTGTCCTTCAAAAATGATTGTGTTGGCTAGTATTTATAGATTTTAGACTGTCATACATTCTTGTTTTATTTCATCACTAGCTGTCATGACCTGTACGATACGGGTTGTGGTAAATCTAATCCTCACCCAACCATTTCTAAACTTGCTTCTAATTTAGTCTTTATACTTCAACTTCTTTTAGTAAACAACAAAAAGTTAATCAACCTACCACGCGGTTTTGTTGTTGAAAATGCAAATCAAAAGTTATATAGATTTTATATTATACATAAACATGTTTTTTACTAATTTTTCTTACACAAACTCAATTTAGTTGTAAATAAACTTAAAAAGTTTTACTAAAATAACAAAAGTATCTCAATAATGACACATGCGCAAAAAAAAAAAAAAAAAAAAGAAAGCCATCAATGGTAGGACTTGAACCACGGCTAACTTGGTTCGAAGCCCAGCGCGCAATCCACTCTACTACGCAGTCACGTTTAGCTACAAGATTTCAAATTATATAAAAATTGTTTTTAACGGATATAAATACAAAAGATTAGAAATTAAGCAAAGGTTGACGAAATGCAGTTCTAAAGTGAAAACCAAACTGTTGAACTTGATATATGTTTAACCATGTTTTAACATTACATAACATGAAGTTTAGGTACGTACGATATGAGTTTCACGTTTGCTCACGTTTTCTTATAAAGCAAAGCTGAGACTCTTTCTCGTCACTACCTCGGATGCAATGGTTGCCAAGAGTATCGTGTCAAACAGGCTCGAAAGCGCACTATTAAGTCCAGTATTATTATAAAGAGATTCATCATTGCTAAAAAAAATTTTTAAGTGGACCACCATCCATCCATGTTTTTTCCCCAAAGTTTCAATAAACTTATTTTGAATGGTAGGTGAAAAAAAAAGATTTTTTTTCCCAGTTTGATTCTTCAAATAAGTTCATGCAGCATGGGGTCATATTTTGCCAACAAATGAACATTTCTAAAATAATACCTCTATTTCCAGTAGTTTTATCTTGATTTTCATTTCCAAAATCTTTTCAGTGACCTCTTTGAGACAAATTTTCCTAGAGATAAAATCATGACAAAAGACATGAGCAATTTACCAAGTCACTGCAGTTGAAAATATAAATTGAGGATATTATTTCGCTTTATAATAACTAGTTTGATGCCTTTTAAAAAAATTGTCAAGTATTGTGCCATGGTATTTGGGTAGGGGTGTGAAACAGATAAGATTTAGAGCTTTTTGAAATAAATTTGCCCCCCTTAAAACAGTACTGCCTGGGGCTCCTCATCCCCACTTCTCCACCCATTCTACACCAATAAAAAAAATAAAAAGATTTTAAATAGGATATTGATAAAATGATATACTAAATAGAAGAATAAAAACAAGTCTTATAAAAAGTACTTAGAGACAAACTTTTAACTGTTTTAGTATTTAAAACCAAAACAAAAACAAATCTCTTGATTTTTCCTAAAAATACTGGTCAACCTCGCTTATGGATTTACAAATACATTTCAATCAAATACAAACATTAACATTTTTTTTTTATATATCAAATACAATAGAAATACGCAATTTCAGCTCATAACTACCTAATACAAATTCAAACACGTATTTGACCCCAACCCTCCTGTTTACATAACTTCTTAGATGGTCTATGTCTATATAACACTATTTAGCTTTTAGTACATTGTTTTTTGTGTTTGAGGTTGATTTTTAAAATGGAATATTTTTTTTATCAAGCCCGGTTCCTTACTATACAGTATACACACTGCATTTAAACTAGAAATTAGTTTTGTAATTTCCTTAGCTATGTTCGAACATATTACTTCCTATGGTTGTACTTACGAGATAAACCTTGTAACAGGAAAACTATTCATATCTGCAGCAGTAATAACATGGAATTCTGCTAAAAAATTTTGTCAAGATGTTTTGTTTGCATAAAATTATGAGCTACAAAACTGCTAAACCATATTAGAAAGTCATTCTGGTATCTGCAAACTCTACACCATTTGAAAAACTGCATTTTTTTTTTTTTGTATGTATTTAGGTGCTCCCAGAAGTCCTTACGGTCTATCATAGAGCACCGCGGGAGAGCATTTAACAGGAAGTTCACCCTTCTTTCCATACCGATGTCGCTTGTTGGGCTAGAGCTGGCATCGAACCTGGGACCTCTGGGTTCTGAGCCAGAACTATACACCATTTGAGTTTAGATTTTAATTTAAAATTTTAATTTATAAAAATTTAACTTACATTAAATTTAAATCTTAACTTAAAAAAATAATTTAAAATTTGTAAATCACAACATTACACAACAGAAGGCTGATTTTAAATATGAAATCAAGGATATATTCTGTTTTTTTCTGATCTAGTCAATTTCACATAACTTCTTTTTCAAAAAAAAAATAGTTATACCTATGTAAGTGTTATTCATTGTTCGCCTATCTTGTATTAAGAGCGTCCAAAAACTTTTATAATCATGTTTAATTAAACACAGGACAATATACTTATTGCGGCTCTACAGTTTACCTGTAGAGCCGCAATAAATTTCAACCAAACTTTTTTTTTGAACCAAAATTTCAAATAAACTTTTCTTCAAAATAACAATTTTTTAGATTTTCAGGCCCTGCATTGTTGTCTGAAGTTTCTAAAGAACTATTTAAAATAGCTGAGTTAAAGTCTTCACTCTAATCAGTGGATCATGGCTTCAACAAACTTTTTTATAAGCTGTACCTTCGCTTTTTAAAATTTCCATTTTATGCAATCTTTTTTTTTTGCTGTTTCTGAGGTTAGATATCTTTTTATTCTTCATCTGAAGCAGAAAAGAGTTAATTTGGAGTGCTTTTCTTATTACCAGTAGATGTATTTGATTCAAGCTTTGCTTCAGAAAGTAAAATAAAGGCTCAAAATTGAAATCAGTTGTCTTTAACAAAATTTTTGATAGTACTTGTATATAGTACTTATTTTAGTTAGAATTACATAGCATAACTAATTATGCTAATTATGCTAATTCAAACAAAAGATTTTCAACTACTTTTTTACACTGATGTTTGTTGAACATAGTTTGAATTGGCTAGTTGATATTGGTCTGACACAATTATGGACAAAATGATGGCAGTCTTGTGTAGACACCTGAGGTTGATCCGACGATGTCTGTTCTGAACAAGTCAGAAGTAAATATAAAAATGCTCAATAAACCAAACTGAATAACTGTAAATAAAGTAATGTCTGTAAATAGTTATATATGTTCAATAAACATTAGGTTAAAAACATTTACATACCTACGATTGTATAAAAAAAAAAAAAAAAAATCAGATTTAGCATCATTTTGACGTAATGTTATTTCAATAATGCAATATTACCCCCCAAGTTTACCCCTCAATCACGGGATCTTTCTAGTTTCTAACTTTGCTAGTTAAAACTAATTTTGACAGTTTGATTACTCATACGTACTTTTGTAAGAAATAGCCTCTCAATTTCTTTGAACCATTAAAATTATAATGGGACACCCTTTTCATAAGCAGTAAAATGCCATATAAAAACCTTTTATGTTTTGAAATAAATGTATTTAAATTAGGCCCCAAATTCAAAAATGTGTGATTTTATCTTATTATTTTTAGACTTAAGAAGGGCTTTCCTCAGTTTTTTTAATTTTTTTTATTTGAAAGTTTTACCTATAATTCCCTCATATAAAAAGAAACAGAAAAAGAAACTAAGGAGTTGTCTCATTGCCTTTTAGTTTAAATACCACAAAATCCTAATAATAACCACAAAATCCTATAACCACAAAATCCTAATAACCACAAAATCCTAATAATAACCACAAAATCCTAATAATGACTTTCCAAGCGCTAACTTGAGTACTGACCATAACTCAGAAACTACAAATATTTAGAAAAATATATACAAACTTCTTTTTATTATATCAGCATTACTATATGAAAAATTGAGCCTGATTGAAGGACTTCACCTTTAAGCATTGTCTGGTTTTTTCAGAAAATGGCTAATAAATCTTTTTCAAACTGTTTCACCCATATCCCATCAAAATGAACACAGAGCAACTTTCCATTCAGAGAGTTTATAATTTTTGTCCGAGCTTGCTCCGAGATTTACACAAGGTTTAGTGTAGACTTAGTGTAGTATTAATAAAGTTTGTGGGCATTCACTAGGGCTCGAATCAAGTGTATTTTGATTACAAATCCTGGTTGCTTTTTGCACCTTTCTAAAAAATATAGAATGTTTTTCTGAGGTTTTTATTAGGGTTTATCTATAAAGTATGTCATGCTAATCTTAACTTTTAAATATAACTATGATCATTTGCTCTCTTGTGATTTTAATTTTTAACTTTTTAATTTTAATTACTTTTTTTGCGTGGAAACCAATAATATAGTCAAGTTATACTAATCAAATTAATACTAATAATATATACATCTAATTTAAAATTGAAGTTAGTATGATTTACTTTATGAATAAAGTACATCACAGTAAATTTACCTCTCAAAACAACAAGTTTTTAAGTTACTTAACTATTAAATATACATAGTATGCACAAAGATATTTAGTTGCAAAAAGTTGACAAATGTTTTTATTTCTTTCTTATATGTTATTAATACTTAATAAGCTTTTAACTCAAAATTATTTTAACAAGAAATTTTGAATACAATATGAAAAAGGCAAAACCATTTTTTTCAAATATTTTAATTTTATTTAGAGCGATATCAAGATAAAACATTTTCTTTAATTACAAAAGTTTTTTTTAGGTATTCATACTATATAAATTTATTTGAACAAGATAATTTTATTCTTCTAAAATTTTCTAATTCAAAAAATCTTGAATTTTAAAATTTCAAAAACTTGAATTTTAATTTTTGCCAGTTTTTAAAACTTGGTTACAAAAACTAAATTTTATTGAATGAAAAATGCAGCAACATTTCTTATAGCCAGTGGCATAGTGAGGATCATTCCTGAAAATCAAACATAGATCTAGTTAAAGTAAGTATGGTTTAAAAGAAAGTGCAAGTGGACTAACATTTTTATTTAAATCGTTAACATTGTTAGTTAAATACTTTTCGTAAACATTTTTTGTTTCTAGAAAATAGTTTAAAAAAAACAAAACATTCTATTGCAAACATTAAACCAGTGAAACAATAACTAAACTATAAAAAATTTAAACTAAAAAAAAAATAAATTATTTTAGTTCTGTTCTGATGAAATACTTTTTTTTTTCAAAAAAAAAAAAAGTTTAAGCGTATACTTATGGAAATTCGACTAATTAAACCAATTTTTTTCGCTCATTGTATTTTATTGCAAAATAATTTGAGTAAAAAAATTGAATTAAAACATCAACTTAAAACCTTTTGGATTTAAAATTATTTAAATTTTTAATAGTTCGATAAATTAAGAAGTAATAAGTTAAAAAGAAAGTGGTCTCTGATAGATTTTTTTTTAGTTTACTTATTTATTTTTCAATTTGATCTTACTTGGTTGGTCTGTAGATAGTGCATGCTTTTGCAAAATTATTAAGTTTAAAGTTTTATGAACACAAGCTTTTATATTGACAAAACAACTTTTGTTTTATTGTTGCTTTTTACAAAAATAATTTAATAAGCTTTAAAAATAAAACGTGTTTTATCATCAGCGTGAACAAAGTATTAAATATTTTGATTTAAAACAAATATGCTTAATCTTCATCAACTTCTTTTCATTCTTTTATCTGATCTAGATAGAGCTGATTATCCTCCTCTGGCATTTTCAGAACAAAAGTGATCCTGGAATACTTTCTGTCCAAACTTTGGTATAGCAATATCAAAAAGTGTTAATCTATCAATATCAAAAAGTGTTACTAAAAACACATTCTTTATCTAGCAGAAGTAACTAGCACCGCATTACCAGTTCATTATTATTATTATTTTTTAAACATCTTTGCTTCCAACAAGGCTGCAAGCAACCACTAATTAGTGTTGGAAGTTACTGGAAGAGAAAAGATGAAAATTGTAGAGCAAGATAAGGATTGACAGACAACTTAAAAGATTGCAAATTATATGAATCAGGAAAGCAAGATGAAGGAAGCAAATTCCAAAGAACTGATGTTCAAGGAAAAAAACTAGACGAATAAGAGTTTTTAAAGCACTTAGGAACAGTAACAGAAAAAGGATGAGACTTAATTGAATGATGAGTAACACAAGAATGAATTTTAGTAGATGGCACAAGAGACGCTAGCTCTCTAGAGCAGTGCTCATTATAGTATTTGTAGAAAAGAGAAAGAGAAGCAATATTACAACGATGCGACAGAGGTTGAAGGTTGGCTGCAAGAGCAGGTCCAACTGTGTTTACAACGCGTTTTTGCATCTTGTCTAAAAGAGAAAGGGCATCATTAGAAGATCCGCCCCAGATATGGCAACAGTATTCCGTACAAGGCTGGATTTGAGATTTATAGAGAATAGAATCCAGAGTAAGAAAGTGACGAGCTTGATAAAGAGAAGCAACTTTAGCAGATGCTAATTTTTCAACGGATTTGATATAAGGTATCCAAGAAAGATCAGAAGAATTAATCCTAGAAGATGAAGGGCAGGAAACTCATCGAGTACATTACCGTTCATAAATATAGAAAGGTCTAAATTATTGCGATAACGATTGGCTGAAAAAAATTGAGTTTTATCTAAATTAAAGTTCACCAGCCACTGCTGTAGCAGAAGTGAGGTCCTTTTCAAGCTCAGATGCCCCCTGCAAGCAATCAGAGGGAGTTGGCTTCTTATTGTGAATAAATTGTGAACAAGAATAAATGGTAATTTGTAATCAAATTTAAAAAAATGGTAAAATTTAATTAAAGTATCTCTTTCTTACAGAATGCTATCGTTATATTTATACTCAAGCTATCTTCTCTTTCTTACAGAAGTTAGATAATAGAACACTAAGGTTGTTAAATTAGTCACTATCAATACTAATATTAAACTGGATAATACATATACTCATATTACACTAGATAATAGACAGTAAACACAAAGGTTGTTTAATTAGTCAATATTTATTATTCAAATTCAATTTTGATCAAAATATGCTTGCTTTTTTTTTAGTTATATTAACAATAACACATAAAAATTGAAATCAAGAAATAAAAATTATAGGAAATAATAATAAAAATAAAAATTATATTCTTTAAAAAAAATACTAAAAAATTAGAATTAATCTTTTAAATTCTATAAAATTTAATTAAAAAAGATTAATTGTATTTATAAACATGTTATAAAATTATTGCCAGGAAAAGAAACAAAATAAATTTAAAAAACTAAACTTTTTATCCATACCCTCCATATGGACCATCTGTTTCAACCATCGTCAGTCCAGTTTTATCAATGAACTCCATAAACATACTGTAGAGTTGATCATACCACTCTGATGCAAGACATGCATCACCTAATGTTTTATTGTTTAAGTCAACAATTTTGTACTCAGGTAACAAATCACCCCGATCCAATACAATCAAG